CAAGGCAGAGACTTTGTAATATTTAGGTCCTAAAATAGCATTTAATGTAAAACAAGGAGAGGGCTCTCAGGAGAGAATAGGACCTTTACTAGATGTTATGCAAGGTTTTAGCCGCACAGTCTCTATTGTAGTTAGACAAACTCGTTTTTCGACATATTGTCTTCTTTCACAGCCATACTCCTCATTTTGTGATTGCGCCGTTTTATTGGACAATGTTGAGCAATGTGCTTTAGTTTTCCATAATATAAACATAATCCTTCTTGACGACGACGAGTCTTTTCTTGCTCAGTAAGAGGTTTGAAACGTACTGCATCAATTTGCATATCCTCTACTTTCGAATCTATGTGTTAAAGAGGTGTTGGTGTTGCCATTGAATTATAGTAACATTGAGGTCCACTTGTACGGTTCTCACATTAGAATTCAAAAAGATGATTGTCGCACTTCACAGCAAAGTCAATTGCTTGACTCAATGTTTGAGGATCAAGTAAGTTGAGCATTAATTTTTTTACCTCATATTGTAATCCATAGAGAAATTGGCTAATAAGTGCAGCATTATCCCACTTGATATCAGTTACAAGTTGTCAAAATTATGAAGCATATAACATTACTGATCGATTGCCTTGTCATAAAATACGGATCTTATTGGTTGCAATACAAATTGCATCATGTTCTCCATACATGGATTAAAACTCCGCCAAAAAAGCCTCTAAATTATCCAATATTGGATCTCGTCGTTCAAGAAAAGATGAAAACCACGATAGTGTTGAACTTGAAAGAAGCATACCAATGAATCTAACTTGCGATCCTGGAGTTGGATAGCTTTGGGGTTGAAGTTCAATCACAAGTTGCACTTGATTGATAAATCCTCGAAACTCAGCTCTGGTGCCATCAAACTTCTCGGATAGGGCAATTCTTAGTTCTCTAACATTTGAAGGGCGTTCCACCATAAGAGAAAGGACATGGTTTGGTGCAAATGTTGAAGCAGCTCCAACCATTTCTATATCTTCACTTCCTGCCAATCTTGTTGCTCCTTGTGGTGGTAAATTGAGTTGATGCATTGTAAGCATTAACTCCCTCAATTGCTCTTGCATTTGTGCCATTGCACTCTTCATTTCAACAAGTTCTGCCATGATAACACTTAGAAGAGAGAAGATGTCTAATATTGCTCAAGACAAATAGAAGAAAGGACTTGAGAACAAAGAAATTACTAAGGACAATATCAGTTTAGAAGAGGGTAATCCACAACTTCTAATATGCTTATAACTTATCAAGAAAAAAAGATAATCCACTCTTAATCAAGATTAGACAAAGCTCTGATATTATAGGTGTACTCTTGTCAATCTGTCAAGGACATGAACTCGATGAAAAAACAATTCAGACATGTGAGCCTTCAATCAAAGACAGGTAACAAAATATATATAAACAAGGATATATATTGAAAAAGAAACTGGAATGGCTATTGCCAAAAGACAAGAAAACTAGAGACCTTTGAAACTAGACTAGAAGCAAGAAAGGAGTTGAGAAGAGTGAAGAAGCCTTCACTCTTGTCTCTATATATACTATCTAACTAAGAGCTATGTGGCGACGTTCTATAGGACCTTCAATATGTGTTGACTTTGTAGGACACATGCCTTGACTTACAAGGCAAGTTTTTCTACATGTGGGCCACATAGTTAGCTTGATCTTCAAGCTAACAACATGTGTGGCACATGGCCAACTTCTTGACCACGTTTCTAATCCAAAAAGTCAATTAAAGACACCTATGAAGTCAAAGAAGCATCTATAAAGCTTCTAAGAAGCTTCCATATTAAATACTATAGAATTAACTTACTTTTACCTACTTTTACTTACTTCTACCTATTTGTATATATAATTACTAGCTTATATGATTATGTCCATGACACTTAGTCCACTAACCTAATTCCAATTCTAGAAACTTCTATGGTTCTAACTACCTATCTTTATACAATTATCCTATCTATATCATATTATAATATCTCTTTTTATTTGTTTCTAACATAATAACTTAAATCTAAGTAGTCATTTATTCATATAATCTTTCATCTTAAGGTATATAATTACTAAGATTGCCAAATTGATTAGGTTGACAAAATACTTATATTACTTAGCTCTTTCGGTACTAAGTCTATTTGAAGCCAAAAACTATCTTATTTTTAAAACAATTATTTCTATACTTTCAATCAACATAGTCATTGCATTACAAGAGATTTTAATATACTCAATTGATTTTACCATTATTTAAGATTCTACTATTTGTAAGATGCATATAGGTATTATGCACTATAGCAAAAATACATAGGATATTATCATTAAAGAATTTGGTGATGGCATTTTGTTTGCTATAGATTATTACTACTTTGTACAAAAATTGAAAGACAAAGAAAACAAGAACATAGTTGTTATTAATATAAATAGTAAGTTCTTATCTCATGTTGAATATTAAGCTAAGGACAATGTTGCAATATTATATATAATTGTTGCAACTTTTAGAAGGTGTCACAAATACAATGAAACTAGTGAAGACATTAGGTGTTAAATAAAAATAAGTAAATTTATTAATATCTTATAGCAAAGATTTTTAAAAGCTTTATAAATGTGGATTTGAAGGAATATTTTTTAAATAATAATTGAAGTGAAAAGACATTCTTTTAAACATAAGCACATTCTAAAACATCACAACTAATCAAGTCTAATATCACTCTTTAAAAATAAATACATATCACAGTAAAAGCTAGAATTGCTACAAATACTAACAATTTTGTGTTGTAAGACTCAACTTGAGAAAGATGAGTATTTAACAATAATAAAAAGATTAAAATACAATGAGAGGCCAACTTGATGTATCAAAAGACACCACCATACATATGATTATGGTACTTGATCATAACTATTGGTGCCTCTAAAAGGTGCCTAATCTACTACTAACAAAGACTTAGAAGTATATTTGATGGTGCCTATATAAACTTATAATGACCATTTGAATTTGATAATTCAATTTAAATGCACATCATTTAGAAATTTACAAATAATATTAAAAAAATCAAAATTAATATTTATAGGATAGTAGGAAAAAAAATATAAAAAATACCATTAAATTTAAATAAATCAAAGAACACAAATAAATATATTTTAAAATATATTTTTAGTCTAAATCTAAAATATAAGTATTTTGACATATAATTGAAGCATTTAACAAGACTAATTAATTTATGTATGTATATACATATATATATATATATATATATATATATATATTACACTTTAAATATAATATATATATAAATATATATATTCTATAATAATATAATAAAATTATTTTTAATAAATAATATTTTATATATTTATTAACTTCTTCAACTATTTACTTAAACATAATATCTATTTAAGTGACTTATGTAAGAATTAAAGACAATTAATATTCAAATCTGTATAAATAAATAATTAAACATATAATTAAATATATAAATTCTTAAATTTATTTATTTAATAGATATTTTTTATCTAATATAAAATTTTATTTATTATAAGATATATAATTTATGAGAGATAAATAAAAAATTACAAAGTGATTTTGTAGTAATAATAATATATCACAATGTAATACTAGAGACAATAAAAATATTTAAAAACATCTATGTTTATCTATTCTAACAAAGACATTTAAAAAAATAGCACAAAAACAAATAAAAATAGAAGAAAAGTATTAACTATCAATCTACATCCATAATATTATTATTGTATCCTTATTACAAATACTTTGAAAGAAAAAAAATAAAGAAATGATAGTATCTTTCACAAATACACAAGATTTATCTCATATCAAATAGTAAGATTTGACAAAAGATAAAGATTTAGTAAAGATTATACAAACAAATTTTACAAACATTAAATTTAACAAACATATTTTACAATTTAAGAGATGAATTTTAATAGAAAATTCAAATATAGTTATGAACCAAGTTAATACATATTAAATATACTAATATCTAATGGTGGTCTTATTATATTAATAATCATATGAAGTTCTAATTTCAATTAGAAAGTTCTATTAGCAACAATTTTTGGAACAATTGTTGTAGTTGTTATTGTTGTCTTAGATCTTAATTGAAGCTTTAACAACACATAATCATTATTTATCTATCTAAAGATGCAAAAAAATTCAATCTATTATAATTTATCATGTTCATATCTTTTTATTTTATTTTATTTCATATTATTTATATGTTTTTTTAATATAAAATATTATGTTGTAATATTGGTTATATAAATGAATGCAACCAATAATAACATTGAATACAATGAAATTAATCATTTTTTATTGTAATAATTATTCAACATTAAAGAACACATATAAATGCAAAATGTTACTAATGCCACCTTTAGTTTTTACTATTGCCACCATTATTATTAATTTAATTCTATTAATATTAAAACTACTTTCTTTTCTTATACATATTTGATTAGAATTAAGAAACTATAAATTGAGCATGTGGAAGATTGTGGTAGATGTAGCAAAAAAATTGTGATAGCATTAGCAATACCCATATATATATATATATATATATATATATATCATCTATTATTACTTCATGAATATAATCTTTATGTTATTCATAATGATATAAGTAATTTCTAATCACAGTAGCAAATTGAATTGAGTCTATTGTTACATTGGCATAATACAATTGAATGAATTCATGGTTTGTGTTGGTGTTTTTTTCTTACTTAAAAGATAAAAAACAGGAAACATTGATATAAAAAATTAAAATTATTATATTGACCATACTTGTAAAATATGATTATGTATGATTCTAAATATGATAAAGTTCATTCTGAACTTTATTCACATGCATCCAGAATTCGCGAGGAGATATGATACAGATGTTGCAACGAGAAAGTGAAAAAAAAAAAAAAAACAAAACAAAACAAAACAAAAACAAAAACAAACAGAAGCAAGAAAGCGCAAAAAAAAGGGTATCAAAAACATAAGAGCGCACACACTTAAATTCTTTGGTAACCATCTGGTGATAGGCAGCTTGACATTATGCGACAGTCGAACGATTCTGAGTTCAGTTGGGAGATCATACATTTGCTTGTGGTGTTTCTATACAATTTGAGGTGCGGCTAAGAATCACAGTCCACCAAGCATGAGTGAGGGGACCAATTACCACTATCACTATTAGAACCAATTTGATACCTTGTTCCTCGAGGCAGCCTATTCTTAAAGAATTTTGAGGTGCTCAGGTAGTAAATCACAAAGGTAGTACAGCATTTTCAGATGCCTGGGCCACATTGAGAGCCTGCATGCACCGCTGAAAAGCTTTAGCCGCTGAGTTGCGCTCCTCTACGCTGCCCCACTTATTATATGCAAGGGCTTGGAGGTAGAATGCTTCCCCGGCCAAAGCATAGTCCTCCAGTAACTCAAACTCCTCAGCTGCTTGTTGTAGGAGATCCAGAACCTCCGCCAGTTGGGACTCAGCTGAAAATGCTGGATCGGAGAGGAAGCACCTTGCAAGAGCGAGGTTAGTGCGTGCACGCAGCTCAAGTCCACCATGACCCAGCACCATCGGCAGGCATTCCTGCAGGAGAGCCAGGGCTCGGGGTGCATGACCAACTCCTAGGCCTAACCAGAGCTCCGCTAAGGTCTCCTTTGCACTTGCTTGCAAGTAGTCTAAGTTAAACACTCGACACAGCGTGAGCCCTGCCAAGGCGTACGGGAGTCCCGTTACGGCACTATCGGCTGTCTTGTGAATTTCAGCCAGGAGTAAGAGGACAAGCACAGACTCGAGCTGCATACTCGCTTTGTAACACTGAGAGAATAGCAATCGTGCCACAGCAGCTGCCTCGTCGAGGTGGCCTGCCACAAGGAGCGTGCGAATGTGACGGATAGTTGCCTCTGTCTTGCGCTCCATGTCCACGCCAAAGACAGGAGATGCCGAGGCTGCAAGCTCTCCACAAGCCACTTGAGCAAGCTTGAGCTCACCTCGGTATAAGGCATGATCATGGACGAGTTGCAGCTGAGCTGTCCTAACCAATGAGTTTGCAGCAGCCGGAAACCTCTTAGCTGCGACTTCAAAAGCGGATTGAGCAGCTGCGTAACCTTTAAAAGCTGCTTGATGCTGAGCAAGCTTGATATACGAAAGGAGCACATCGTCCGAGCTAGCCACATCCGCGTAACAAGTTGCATGGATTAATGCACTAACCCTGACCAGCGGGACGCTACCATAAAGCTCCCACGACGCTGCACGAAGCAAGTGTGAGGTTCCTGCAAGCTTGACAACGGCGTCCGACGTACGACCTAGGCGGCCAGTTAAGCTTGTCCAAGCCCCACCAGCCATAGTCCCAGGAGCTGTGAGCGGCTGATTGATATTCATACCGTTTCCTCGCTGCTGATTTGTGGTGCCTGAGATTGCTACGTGGGGCGAAATGCCATTGCTAATGGAATCACCTAGGAGATAAGGACTTAACCTAAGAGTCTTGCACACCTCCAGTGGAGATGTACCCAATTCTCCACCATTCTCTAACCCACCAAGAGACGAGAACCTGCGAACATGTTTCAAATAAAACTTCGCAAGGGCAAGACGACTAAAAGCAACCAACTGGGACAGCTTAAGCTCCAATGATCTTCGCAAGCAGCGCCTCAACAAAAGTAATAGTTGTTGTTGGATTCCGAGAGAAGGGCCAGCGCCAACATCTCGAAGGCCGGCAGATTCACCCTTGGCGTAAGCTTCATTGGCAGCTCCAACGTCAAAGAGCAGGTGGCAAAGAGCAGCTAAAGCATGCGCAAGACATGCATCGTCATTGTACTGCTGAGCAATTCGCACAGCCTCATTTAAGGCTTGCATAGCCTGATCGACATGACCAAAATGGGCGTGCATTGACCCCAAACTGAGAAGGCCTGCTTGGAATCTACCCACACTGGAATCACACGATGCACCACCGACACTCATGCCTCCCATCCCAGCACTGTAATCAAAATAGCGATGCAGATCATCCATTGTGGCAGGATAATCACTTTGTTGAAGGTGGTTAAGGTAACGGAGGTAATGGACTTTCATCATATCTGGAGCTAGCTTCTCGAGTTGCGTCAGGTTAGAATCCAGTCCCTCCTTTGGAATCTGCCCAACTCCTTTTTCAAGAAGACCTGCTTGCTCCTTCAAAAATCCTTCGACTTGCTCCACAGTTCGCAGGGACCTTGTCTTCACTCCACTATCTCCTGAGATGGCTGCATTTGGAACAGGGAAGGCAGATGCACCGTTCCTTCCGCCTGACTGCTGTCGACCTTGCATCCCTCTCCTACCAGCTGCGGTCCCCCGAAACCGAAACTCTAGGTCATGTATTCCATCCATGTTAACGTCATCAATGTCTTCCTCATACTCATACTCGTCATCAAATTCTCCTTCGATCATATCATCTTTGTCTACAAATATTCCTCGAGGATCACTCGACTCCAACCAGCGGTAGGCATTCAACTCAACAACCAGTCTGCCTGAACCCTCAAATGAGAGTACATTGAAAGCCAAGATGCACCTTCGTAAAAACTGGCCCAGCAAACTGTTGGGTTGAATGAGAAGAGTCTCATCCTCCCCTCTCCCAGATTCTGCAGAGTAGGAAACGGGAGCCAACAACTCTTTCAAACCTTGAAAAAACTGGAACAACTCTTCGGGGGTACATAGAAGTGGTAGACGGCTACCAAGCTGCTCAAAGAGCACACCACCAACATCGGACAAATCATCTTTCAGTTCCTTCCCAAGCTCCTCGAATGTAGGCTCCAAAAACCCGTCAGTCACTCTAGTCTGGTCCAGAAGAAAGAGAGCTAGGCGATGGCGGGCAGAGCTCGGCAACACACAAAATGGTGGCGATGCGGATGACGGCGACGCATACGCTTGCAACAGCATACACATTGCGACCTTGTGAGAGGTGAGAACAAAACCCCTACCTCCAGCCATCTCTTCAACCTATTACCTATAACCTCTTCGGCCTGGAAGCAATCTTACCCCATTCTCACACCCTCCTAGTCCGTCTCAGCAACCGCATTATCCCCATTCCTATCATAGCGAACCTTTGCAATGCCAATCGAGGCTCATCTACATTTAAACAGCCTCAACACCCTCCACCGAGATTGACTCGAGGGAATGAGCTTAAAATCCCACCTTGAACGCTCTTTGACCAGTACCCAACCTTCGAAGTATCCACACATCAAATTCTCCCGATGCTCAGAAAAACAGTAAGACCCGGGCAGAGAATGACGCTCTGATACTGAAACTGAATCAACTTCAACATGAGGAAACCAAGCCCCTCAAGTAACAACACAATACCTTGCACCCACAGTAACGATCAACGCGACCCAAAAGCGCACACGGCAAATCCAATGAGGACAAGAGGTGCAGTACCCTAAACCCTCAGAATGAACAACAACATTGCAAATCACGGATTGCTTCACGAAGACGATCTAATGTGGGGAACCCCACAAATTGATGGTTTCACTCAGAATTCTCGCAGCACAAGGATCGACGCAATCGGGTTTCCAAGGGGTTATCGAGAGATCGAGACTGAAATTACAGCGAGGTTGAGGAACTAACTCATCGATCTGTGAGGCCGCGGAACTCATCGCCAGAGACAGGGTTTGGTGCCGTCATCGAGATGACGTCAGGATTCAAACCAAAATTCGTCGATGATGGATGTTGATTTTGGATGAAGTATTTCATTCGTTTAGGATAGTGAAAATAATAATAATAATAATAATAAGAACAAGGTGAAATGACGAGTAGAGGTGGCAAGTGTTATATGGTTACTCATTAGGATACATAAAAAGTTTGATTTAACTTGAAATAAACTGTAACTGTGAAGATGTTGCGTCAGACTTGACTTTTAAAGAATGATGTATATTTTGGCCTATTAATTTTTGAATTCCTAATAATTTTAATGAAATCCGCTCTGTCCAACGTAGAAGATGCTTTCAGTTTGAAGATATGATTTTGGATGAAAGAAATCAAAAATTATTTTAAAATAATTTACTTCTTTATAATAATTAGTTTTAGATTACAATAAGTTTTCTGTAATAACATTTTTACAATGACTTAAAATAGATTTTGTATATCAAAAATATAAAAAAATATTTAAATATTATTTTTTTAGTAATATTTCAGAATATCATATAAACTATAAATACGTATTAGCTATTTAATGAAAAATTTTAATTCTTTGTTAAAATTTAAAGTAAATCAAGGATAAATTACTTACACAAACCTTCCTCTTTTGTACGGCCAAAAATGTTGCTACATCTTTTAATAATGTAGCTCTATAAAATTATTTCTTGAAATTTAAAAAAATATATAAATACATTAAAATTTAAATAATAATCAATATTTATGTTCTTCTGAGAAATTAATTCCTTTCTTAGATTTCTTTAATTTCTTTTCAGCTGCTGTTGTGATTAGAGGACGAATAATTTTCACCTACTTCTATTCGTTTTGTCGATGACAATCAGTGATGTGAATTGTAAACCAGGAGTTTTATTTTTATGCTCTCTGGTGGAGTGAAGATAAATTCCGCTCGTATCTTTCTTATATGTTGTGTGTAGAGGCGAAGGCTTTACAGGGTAGAATTTCTCTTGTAAAAAGTTCGGCAGTTATCAGTTGTTGAAGTTTTGGTGCGGGTCTTTGTAATCATCTCACAATCTGATGTTCCGAGGTTGTAAAACCAGAGTTGCAATTCAACCTTAGGTGTTCTTTAGAAGTGCACATCATGCAAAGTCCTTAATCTTTCTTGAACTTCGTGAACTCATTGCAAGGTTCATTGGGTTGTGGTTGCTTATTGCGATATAACTATCTTAAAATGGGAAACTAGTTGTCTGTTAGAAGAATCCAGCTTCTTGTGTCCAACATGATTTTTTGTTTCATCAGGGATCCTTATCACCAGCCATGACGTCAACAGCCTTTTTGAGGCGGCTTCCTCCTCCGTTGCTATTGCCTCTCCAAGTTTCTCACCCATTTTGACTGTTCGAAATAATCCGCACGCTTGCAAGACTGGAATTACTCGTCCTCTCCAAGACAGAGACCTCCAATAATTTTGCACTCCTAACCGATTATGCTCCTCTCGACTGCAGAAACAAACCCTTGTACCTCAAAACTCGCCATCTCCATCCTGGGGCCTAATTTTTCTGTTCTCAACCTCCTGTTCAGTGTCCACGTCTTGTCATGTCTTGGTACCCGCAGCGGCCTGTGTAGAAGTTCCCGTTCTCCACTGCGCATATTTCCACTGAGACCGTGCTCCGCTCTACCCGTTGTCTGATCCCTCTTGTGGATGGAGTGGACGTTCCCTCAATGATCTGGGTGGCTTTATCAGCTCCGTCGACAAAATTCTGCTGGGATAGCAAGGGCTTCTCTTGCTCCTCTCGCAGCAGCAGCAACAGCTCTACCAGGTAGAGCATCTAGTTCACTTTGTTTCTCGGACATTGTAAGTAAGAGTATCCGCGATGTTTCGGTTTGTTCTGCAGCATCACTGTGAACTTGCCCTCTGTGAATCATATGAGAGTGAATCATATGAGAGGATTCCATTTCTTTTTTTATTTCAAGAATCGTCGCCATTCTCTTGTAGTTGTTGGTGTTTGAGTCACATGAGTCTATGATGTGAGTAGTTGGTCTTGTCATATTAGACTAATAAGCAGACTGCGCCTTTGCAGAAACGACGCACATGTATCAAGAGGGCATATTCCTCTTGATACATCACTCTCTCAGCATTATAAATGCTATTGTAAACAAATTCATAATCAAAAAATATAAATATTATTCAAAATAGAATACAAAACTAATTATCATTATTAGATTCTATTATGGTATTAGAGCATCTCTCTAAGAATCTGAAATTCCAAAAAAGTAATAATAGCTCATTCAATAGGAGAAGTCTTTACTGAAGACATTCAATGAAGAAACTAGTATACCTTACTTCTTAACATGACTACAAATAGTTTTTCAACAAAAGAATGGTCAAAATTCAATGGGTTGTAGTATACCATTTTGAAACTAAAAATCCAAATGAAGTTTGAGATAGAAGAAATATGGCTTTAGTCTCTAGAATTGAAAAAGAGCCAATTCTTAGTATGGAACTAGATACTACAACATCACATCCACTAAATCAAATGGCGATTCTTGCATAGAAGAAAACAGACCATGGTCCTCTTAGAACAATTGAGGATTGTATTGATAATACAATTTTTTCTATGTAGGAGCATATAAAACTGTCAACAAACCTTGGCTTGCTCTTGAAAATACGTATTCAGCAAGTGGTAATGTTACTCAAGCTCATTTCTAAGAATTATACAAAAAATGAAACCCGACAAATCCACGATAAAATACTTATACAATTACAAAATACTACTCCAACAATGTTACTCTGTAGGAGTGAAAATATTACCACAAATGGAGATATTTTCATGACATCTATGCTATCTCAATATAGAACCATAATTCAAACATTACTAACCACTACAACTACAACTTTGTCGAAGCTCATTGCAATTCTACTTCAAGAAGAGACCGCCATTAAAGATTTTTCTTCAAATAAAAAGTCCTTTTATAAAAATAAAAAGCAAAAGCAAAAATAAAAATAAAAATAAAAAATAAAAGAAAGTAACAAATGAGATTCACATAGAAGCCACATATATGAGATCTAAAATTTTCTAAAAATAAATCAAAACCAAACACTTTTTGTTTTCATTGCAAAAAAAAATGCCATTGGAAATTAAATTATTGTAAACATAAATCAAAAGCTAATGAAAATACTACAATTACTTCACATAATTCTAGAAAAATAAAATCAACATAGAAGGCCAAAGGCATGAAAGAAATTCTACCCTCCTTCTATAAATATATGTATTTTATCGAAGTTTTTTACTTTGTAAAATTTACTATAAATAGTGACACTAAAGATGATTAATGGTTTGTGGATATGACTACTATTGACAATTCAATACACAAAAAACAAAACTTTTTCAACTTTCAATCACTTTCACCTTATCAACATAAAATTCATCTTAGTAATGACACCATATTTCCAATTTGTAAAAAGAGAGAAGTCAAAATTTATTTAGTTAATGGAAAAATACTTTGTATCACCAATATTCTTTATATTCTTGAATTATGTAAAAACTTATTCTTTAATTGTAAATATGGTCAACAAGGTGGTGGCCTCTTTATTAAAAATCAAATTAATCATTTATTAGATTTTCATAATGATTCTTTTACAAATTATTTCCTACAAGACAATCTATATTTATTTGACAAGATAATTAATTTATCTTCTTATGTGGCCGCCCATATCCATAGTAATCTACATCTAAAGATAGTTCATATGGATTTGTAAGATTTTTTTCCAATAGCATGGATCTAACATCCTTTATCCTTATGTATTGTATTTACATTTCCTCTTGGATTCACCCAAGTCCCATTATGTAAATTAGTTTTCAATGATTTTTTTTATATTACCAACTCTGCTCTCTAATTGCTGCCACCATAGCCAATATTCTCGCTATTGCATATGCCACCATAGCCCCTACCAACATTCGTCCCAATGCTATCGTTAACACTAAGAATGTTGTTATCAAGGAAATCACTGCTAAATTTATAGCTACCAAATTTGCTATTACTAAGCTTGACATCATTAAATTTGTGGCTCCTTGTATTTTGTCTTAACTCCTTTATTGACGTTGATCTTGCCATTGTTGTTGTTGCTATCAACTTAGCTCTCACATTGGTTGTTGGACCTTCATTACCTCTCATATGATCTTGTAGTTGTCTCGGCATGTATGTTTCTTTCTATCTCTAAGATCATTGTCTATGAATAGCTCCAACATCTTCCTTTAAATATTTCAAATATTCATATGGATATGCTTTTCGAATCCAACATTTATATCAATTTGAAAAAAATATCACATCTTTGGCATCATTAACTTGGCCACATAAGTGTTTAATACCTTATTCAACTTATTCAATACAAGGATGTTATAAGATTTCCACTCAAATATGTTTGTTAACATATGTGTTCTACTTGTCTCAATGACAAAGAAACTTTCACCAAATTTTCCAAAGCCAACACTTTTTGAGCCATTCAACTACTTGAGCTCATCCATTTCTATTTAGGTGGAAGGATTCTTTCACTTGCATTTTTTTTTGTCTTTTAGTACTATACTACCTTCATTGATGACTACTCAAGATATATGGTACTTTACCTCCTTTGTGATAAAAGTGAATGTTTTGAATTTTTTAAAGTTATCTATATATGGGTAGAAAATAAAACAGGCCATATCCAATGAATACTCTAGTTGGATAAAAGAAGAGAGTATCTTTCATCCAACTTTAATTAATATTTATCCTAACATGAAATTCAATGAAAATTAATAATTGCTTATACTCTAAGACAAAATAGTATTGAAAAAAAAAATTGAATTTTCCTTAATACGACTTGGTGTATGGTTTATGAAGTACATCTTTTAAAAATATATTGGAGAAAACTAGTCACATGTGCTGCTTATTTTCAAAATTGAAGTTCTACTAAAGCCATCACTTGTGACAAGACTGTCTTCAAGTTATGGCACAATTGCAAACCA